TATATATATATATATATATATATATATATATATATATATAATTTACCTATCATTTCTAGAAATGAAGTATTAGCATGTAGAAATGAAGCATTAGTAAAGGAGTTATCTGACATCTAGCTTAGCTGGATATCACTGAATTTGGAAATTTAGCTCCTATTAAGATGCTAGCTTACCTCCATGGGTCAGTCTGTTGCTAAAAGTGTTACAATATACAAGGCACATGATGAAAAGACCTGAGTCTTGTCTTCCTTCCTAAATGTTATTTTTCTGATTTGGTTTGCCACAATGAGTCATTTAGGTTACAGAAATGAAGCTTAAATTATTGAACAAACATACACACAGAGTCCACATTTCTAGAATATTATTTCTAATAGTAAACATCTGTACTACATTTTCACTAAGAATAATATCAAAGAAGAATGGATATATTTTGCAGCAGATTTTTATTTTTGGAAGTACTTTCTATAGTTTGGATTTGAAATGTCTCTCAAAGGCTTGTGTGTTGAAGGCTTGATCCCTAGCCCATGGTGCTACTGGGAGGTGGTGGAACATTGGTATGTAGGGCCTAGTGGGAGGAAGTTAATCATGGGGCATGTCTTTAAAGGGGACCATAGCACCCTGGCTTCTTCCTTCCTTTCTCTTTGCTTCCCAACTGTTAGGAGGTCAATAAGCTTCCTTGTCATGGGCTCCTGCTATGATGTTCTATGCCACCAAAGTCCCAAAGCAATAGGATCAAGCAACCAGGGACTGAAACCTCTGAAACCATGAGCCAAAATTATAATTATTCTCCTTCATAAGTTGATTTTTCTCAGGTATTTTGTTACAGTGAGGAAGGCTAACATCAGTGGATTTGTAGAATTTCTGTCATTGGAGAGTTTAAAAATTAGTGTATAAAATTGCCTGCTGGGATGGTTTAGATCCTACATGCTTAGGTGATAGAAAAGGGAGAAGAATATAGCAGAAAAAATATTAGGAGTTTAAAAGCCAGATACTCTAATCCTGGTTCTATCACTTATAACAAAGTAGTGTTTGTTGGATAACTTATTTTCCCTTCTTGGCCTCCATTTCTTCATCCAAAATGTGAGGGAGTTAGAATTAATTGTCTTTAATATTCTTGCCAGATCTGTGAGTCTATGTGTCTACAGATGAACAGGATAGAGTTGCAAGGTCTTTTCTAACTCTGAAATTCTATTTATATGTGATGTGTTTGAAAGGAATACAATTCAGTTGTATTCTCTCTCACTTGCTTTCTCTCTCTTTCATTCAAACCCAACTAAACCAAACCTCTGAAATGAAATGATCTATGCTTACTCCTAGACTGTTTCTAGAAAGGGACAAAGGCAGGCATGGAATCTCAGGGGTTGATTTTTCCACTCCCTATGCCTGGTATTCTATCCTCCACTCCTGCCAAAGATGGCAATATTCATACTAAGGCATTTGTAGTTTTCTCACTAGGAATTTGGCAATCGATTGCTCCTAATGGCAGCAGAAAAGACATATTTTTTTATCACCTAATGCAAGGCTGTGGTGTTTCCCACTGAGTTCAGTGACATTTCCAGGAAGGATGGAAAGAATCAACTCCAGCCATCCTGTTACTACTTACTGGTGGTAGGTTTTAATATCACCTACTGCTGCACCTGAAGAATACACCTTAGCTCCTGTCTGCAAGAAAGTAGCCTGGAGTAGATGGCCTGAATGGGGTGTATACCATCTCATACATCTGGATCTATCCAACAAGTGAATACTACTTTTTGTTTTAGGATTTCCTGGGAGTATACTATTACCACCTGGAAATGAATCAAATGAGATGCTGACATTGGGTATCTAATTGCAAAAATATCTGGATCTGCCTAAGTGGTAAAGACCAGCAAGTAGATCTACTCTCTTTGGCGTCTCTATTTTAGTAGTGAATACAAATTTTAAAAGGGCCCTGATATGGAAGAAAGACTACAGAGAGGGAACCTACTGAAAACAATTTTTCCTACTTCAAAGGAATCGCCGGCTGACCTGGTCTAGGAGAGACTCAGTTGGCAGTGTGCCTCACCATGAACCTATTCAGTGTATATACTACTTCAGAGTTCAAGAACACTGGGTAATACTAATACCTTGAAAGGGTGAGACCTTTATCAATGTTCCATGCAGGATTCAGAACCACTGGTGATGTAGATCTAGGGCTCTGTAACAATTTGTACATCTATGCTGCAGGAGGCTCTATTTCAGTGGTGTGTAAATTATATTCAAGATATGGTAAAACTGGGATCGTCCTAAGCCTGTGTTCTGTGTTCCAAGCCAGTATCAGCAGGTGATGCTGGTTTTACTGTATATCATTATTATTGTTGTTATGTGCAATTAGCAGTGGTTTAGTCCTCCCTTTATCTTTATATCTCCCTCAAGTTGTTCATCATCCTCTGTGACACTTCTTTCTTTTTTTTTTTTTTTTCCTTTGGTACCGGGGATCGAACTCAGGTCCTTGCGCTTGCGCAGCAGGTGGCGAAACCACTGAGCTAAATCCCCGGCCCCTTGTGACATTTCTTTCAACACAGCCATCTGTGAATACTATTCTTGATGTATATGCACAAGTTACATCAAGCAAAACTGCTTTTGGTGCCATTTCAATCAGATTCATTTATTACAAAATATTAGGTGGAAGAGATGGACCAGTCCCACAAAGTTCATTTACCTTAGGCCTCATTCCTCACCCCTGTCCAACCTGCAAGGGGCATCACTGTTGCCTGAGATTGAGCATCACAAAACATGGGGTCATGATGGCCTGTAATCAAACCTCATTCACTAATCAGAATCCTTGGCTTTATTGGCTGCTGTCTAGTGTCCACTCTAATGTAGACAATGAGTAAACAGCATGTGCCTTACTGAGTTACAGCTGCCGCATGGCTTGGGGACAGCCCAAATGTGGTACATAGGACTAGTTTTCTCCCTTAGGGTGGCAGCATTTGGAGGTTCAGATGATGAACGAACCCTCACTGCAGAAAATAGCCATGAAAATAAGACATTCATCCAAACAAACTTGGCACTGCAAAAAAAATAGCAGGCCAAGCAAGAGAGGGCTGTTGCACACTACTGAGGTGCCAGGGGGAACAGGTGGTCTCCCTGCACACCTCGTCATATGAGACCAGCCTCTGATTCTCATAGTTCAGAGAAAAAGGAAGCACTTCACGCACTACAGTATGATTTTTAACCCTCTAACCAGGATTGATAACCAACTGCTATACACTGACATGGCTGCCCAGTTGTTATAATATTAGAAATAGTTCCTTACCAGTTGGTAAACAGCTCCCACTCTAGGTGTTCCCCATGGGATACCCTCAGATCCCTCCAGAATCTAGAAAGCAAAGGGTAACATTTTTTCCGGTGACAGGGTTTGAATTCAGGACCTTGCACTTGCAAGGCAGGCATGGTGCCACTGAGCTAAATCCCCAGCCCTAAAGGGTAACATTTGGAATGGCAGATAGTATCCAGGACCCTGCTCCAGTACTACAGCTGGCATACTTTCTCACTGATTGGTTTCTTAAACAGTCACTATAGTAGGCAGAACTCAAAATACTCACCCCAGATTTCCCTCCCTAATCATCAGGACTATGAATATGATGAGATATCATACTTGTGATTATATTACATGTCATGGCCCTGGGGATTTTTCAGATGTATTAAGGTTACTAATCATAGGTGGGCCTAATCTAATCACATGAGTCCTTTAAAAGCACATTTTCTCCAACTGGTGGAAGAAGAGGATATTAGAGATTTCAAC